AACACAGTTCCTACTCGCTTAGCTCCCTTTTTGATCACCTGGCTGCACCAACTCTCTAGAGAGCACCAAAGTTCCAATTCACGTTCTAGCTTTAGTAATGGGTACGATTCAAACAAAGCAAGTCCAGTTCTTGGATGGGGAACTCTGCTAAATGGTTGACTCCATGTTACCATCTAGCTACTAGATGGCAGACAGAGCAATGGGGAAACCTGATATGGTTGAAGTTCGTCATGTAAATAGCCCTCTCTGGACAGGAGTGCCTTTGAATGTGCCAGTGAAAGTGTATTTTGTTGTAACTGGGAAGGAGTATTTGAAAACTGAGTACTGTGCATACGGCACTGTATTTTTAACCAGGAAAACACTGTGCTCATAACAGCATGCTCTCCATACCTGGCTAACTTACCTGCGCAGTTAAAACCTTAGTGATGGTAGACAGTGAGTTCTACAGGAGACTTTCCTCATTTACTTCATGCCTCCTAAGACACAAGCTAGTAAATGGCACAAGGTTCATAGGAAAATGGTGCTCTCTCTCCTCCCTATGCCTGGATGCAGTCCTATTTTTAAGTATAGATACTCGGGACCCTGCCAGCATACCCAGACAGTTCAGGTGAAGTTGAGGTCCTGCTGTGTGGACGATGCCATTTCGTTTCTGTAGAAGTGCTGAAACAGCAACCCCCTACCCCACATCTAAGCAAGTCCTATAGTCCTATAGGTCCTTGCAGAAATAATTGATCAAATTAAAGTTAGTAAAGATTTCCTGAGCCATTAGACTTGGTAAGATGCACAGAAGAGGAGATCCTGGCTCTGGATCTCATAAGGTACCCAGGATAGTACATGCCAGTCTAGCCAAAATCCCCACAGCACACCAAAAGAGATGGGTGTAATGGAATGTTCAACTATTCTACTGTTCAGCCATGGCACGGCACTGTATGTAACATGCCTTATTTAAGCTAGCATTCATATCTGGCAGATCACTGAAGGATCGTATAGTGATCACAGCCGGTGTATATCCTTCTGAGACAGAAGCTCTGTTCCCGTCCATCTCTAGGACAGAAGCCTGACCTGCTAGTAGCAGTCCTGCAACCTACTGTATTCAGTAAGGCCTAGCAACAAACAGGGTAGTGCCTCGACCATCTCTTCCATGCCAGCCCAAGTGTCAGTAGGATTCCAGGTGTGAGCTGCCAGAATTAGGTCCTTGCAGAAATAATTGATCAAATTAAAGTTAGTAAAGATTTCCTGAGCCATTAGGCCAATGAAAACTGCACAAGTGGAAAATAACTTCTAAAAAATTAAGATGCTGCTGCATTGCTTTTGTTCTTGTTTCCTTTGACTTTTACACCTTTTGAGAAAAGGTGTTGAACTGAACCATGAATGTGAGATTAACCAAGGCAATTTCTTTGCACTTCAACTGCTTGCCAGGGGCACTGCCCTAACACTGACCCAGCCAATATATTTCCATCCAATCATCTGCAGAAAGAGAAACAGACCTCTAAACTTCAAGGTCGTTAAAGGAGCTAGGATTTCAATGCCATTTGTTTGTGGAGTCATATATATGTGTAACCGTCTTATGCCCATGTTAAGTTTTACTGCCATTCAATACTCAAACAAGTTTCTAAAAAGAGAGAGCCAAGTTTCAAGGTAACAGGAAAGAGGTTAACATTTCAACAATGGCAGTTTTAGAGTAGCTAATTTAAAATTACAAGGAGTCTGGTGGCACCTTAAAGACTAACGGATTTATTTGAGCATAAGCTTTTGTGGGTAAAAACCCCACTTCTTCAGATGTGTGGAGTGAAAATTACAGATGCAGACATAAATATACTGGCACATGAAGAGAAGGGAGTTACCTCACAAGTGGAGAATCAGTGCTGACAGGGCCAATTCGATCAGGGTGAATGTAGCCCATTCCCAATAATGGAATTGACACCTCCTCATCTATTATTGGGAATGGACTACATCCACCCTGATCGAATTGGCCCTGTCAGCACTGATTCTCCACTTGTGAGGTAACTCCCTTCTCTTCATGTGCCAGTATATTTATGTCTGCATCTGTAATTTTCACTCCACGCATCTGAAGAAGTGGGGTTTTTACCCACAAAAGCTTATGCTCAAATAAATCCGTTAGTCTTTAAGGTGCCACCAGACTCCTTGTTGTTTTTGTGGATACAAACTAACACGGCTACCCCCTGATCATTTAAAATTACTTACTTTTAAATGTTTAACTAGATATTTTCTGTAACTAGACTAGGATCTTAAACAACTCATAAAAAGCTTTCCATTCTGCTTTTCAGACTAGTTAAAAATGTACTGAGTGAACATTACTGTGGCCTTTCCCAAAAACCTGAACTGACCTCCTGAATAACCAAGCCATAGAAATTCCCCAAAATAAGTGCTTTTGAATAAGAGCGTCTCTTCTCAAAGAACATCCAATTGTGATCTGAAAATTGCCATAGATGGAGAATGTGCCATGACCTTTTGTAAACTGATCCAATGGTTAATTACCCACTGTTAAAGTATACACTTTGTTTCCAGTCTGAATTTGTTTAGTTTCAACTTCCAGCCATTGGATCTCGTTACAGCTCTGCTAGATAGAAGAGCCCATTATCAAACATTTGTTCCCCATATAGTTACTTAGAGACTTTGATCAAGTCACCTTTTCTTTTTTCAGCTAGATATATCGAATTCCTTGAGTCTATCACTATAAAGCAGATTTTCTAATCCTTTAATCATTCTTGTGGCTCTGCTCTGAACCCTCGGCAATTTATCAACATCCTTCTTGAATTGCGGACACCAGAACTGGACACAGTATTCCAGTAGCAATTGCACTAGGCCAAATACAGAAGTAAAACAACATCTCTACTCCTATTTGAGATTCCTATTTGTCCATTCAAGGATCACATTAGCCTTTTGGCTACAGCATTGCACTGGGAATTCATGTTCAGCAGATTATCCACCACAACGCCTAAAACTTCAGAGTCACTGTTTCTCAGGATAGAGTACCCCATCTTGTAAGTATAGCCTGCATTCTTTGTTCCTAGATGTGTACATGTCCATTTAGCAGTACTAAAAATAAAGTACCTGTAGTGGGACAATTTTCCTGATGGAGACGTTCTGGAAAAAACAAAGTCAGCAACTCCTAGTGAAACTTGCAAAAAAAGAGTAGTTCTTCTTACCGCAGTCCTTAAGCGAACAAACAAACAAAAAACCCACACAGAAGTCAAATTATTCCTAGTGTTTCCCCAAAATCATACAAATGTATGAATGGTAAATAAAATGCACTCTAAAGGAGTATGGAAAGTCACAATCAAGGATGCTGATGAAGGTTGAGAGAAATTTCAGGCTGTTCCTTAGTTGCTCAGCCAGAGAGGAAAAACAGCAGCTCAGAGTGACAAAGCAGGTGAAATGCTCACAGAGCTCCTCAGAGTGGCCTATTATCACCTCACTGCTCCTCAGGCACATATATTTGATGGGCAAAGGGAAGCAACAGCTTTTAATGCTCAGGGCAAAACCTTTAAAGAGATAAGGTTTCAGAGTAACAGCCGTGTTAGTCTGTATTCGCAAAAAGAAAAGGAGTACTTGTGGCACCTTAGAGATTTACCAATTTATTTGAGCATAAGAGATAAAGAGAGAAGCACACTGAAGCATATAAAAATCTTTGTTCACTTCAATTATTCTGCTAAGGCTAGAAAAAAAAAATCTTGAGCCAGATGCGACAGGAACAGAAAGCAACTTGGAACACTGGCTGAAGGAGGCACAGGAAGTCTTTAGCTACGGGCCTGTAAACCGTATGGCTCGTGGGATGCTCCAAGGGGATGGGATTCTTTAAGAAGTCTTCTCTGTCAAAACAACACGGCTGCAACAACATTGCATACAGAACAATGCATGGCAGTCCATAACCCTTGTTTAGTGTACCCTCTCCTGGGAAGGAAATTGTCTGGGGAGTGAATGGCACAACTACTTCTTGGCCAGAAATGAGAGAATTGAGGACTCAGCAGAGGCACCTTCCAGGCTGGCAAGGACCCGGGCCAATGTATCGTTCTGCCTCCCCCGCAAGCAGCCATCTCATTCCACTCTTCAGAAATCCTCCTTTTCAGCCAGTAGTGCTGGGTATAATGGCTGGTTTAATTACCTCCAATTCCAATACATGGATTATCCACTTAATTCACCACTCCAATAAAACCAAACTGACCCTAGCGGAAGTAATCCAATATGCTGTGGGTATGACAGTCTGGAGGAAGAGATAGAATCACGGCGGCTTAAAATAATGGGGTACTCACCACTCAGGTTGACCTAATTCTCTCAGTTGTCACTAGGGAGAGGTGAAGTGTCCTTGGCATGCAGTCTTAGACATCCCGCAAAGGGAGGACCAACACTTGTCTACACAGGACAGAACAGGACAGGACAGGCCATTCCCTTTTTCATGCAGGATTCTTTTTATTATTACCTGAGAAACAGAGCAAATCAAAGCTCCTTGTCAGGTGAATTTGTAGGCAGAGTGAAAACAAAGGTGTTTCCAAAATCAAGTCTCACATTTGATACAGAAAACAAGGCTAAAATATTTGATTCAATGTTAGAACTGGTCAAGAGTCCAGAATTCCTGGCCCACTGGAAATTGTGATATCTCCACCTTGGTTTTCATCTTGCATCGAAATGTTTCATTCTGCCTCAGCTCAGCATCAAATTACATCTACCCAAGCTGCCTCAGTGCCTCACGGGAGTTGAAGTTCAGGGCCATCACACCTCCATTCTCCTCTACAGGCTTTGATCCGTGATTGTCCCATGATGTCTACAGTTACAGGGTTCCTATGATGCACAGCAGTAGCTCCCTAAAGGGGAGACCACAGTTCCATCATAGGAGATAGTCTGCCCAGAGAGACCAGCCAGAGAGAAAATGGGTGCCCATGAGGCACCTGAACAGCTCAGGTGCACACATTAATATTGTACTGAATAAAAACAATTTGAGACTTGGTTTCTTACGTGGGTCTAAATAATTACTTTCACAGGAAGTAGGAAGCCAAAGCAAGGAAGTGGCAGTCTCCTCCAGGCATGGACAACATGCACTGCCAAAAGCGGTCATTACTCAGCAAGGAGGGGCATGGCTTCAACACACGCAACATAGCTGAAAGCTCCCCGAGCACTCCCACAACCTCATTGAGCAGCACTGGCAAAATCTAAGCAGAGAAGACTCTGACCCAGAGTAAACAGAGTACGCCCCGCAGAATTTGAGACAACAGACCAGATTCTCAACTGGGTGAGTTTCCACAGTCCTGCTGAAGTAGATGTAGCTATGCCACTTTACACCAACTGAAGAGACGGCCATTAATTCTGGGAGTGATAAAGAAATGAGAAATGATGGGGCAGCACTTCTCTGAAAGCCTATTTTTAGTATTTACACTGCTTATTACCCCCAAGTCAATGAAGTATCAGGCCACACAAACAATCTTGGACAGGAAATAGAGCATAATCCTATTTTGCCAACACTGCACATGAAACAAAAAAATGAAAAATAGATTCTTCTAATCTGTTGCTTGGTCTAGATTTCCTTGCAACTTAAAAACCCAGTGACACTTGTGGTTTGGAAATACTGATGGGCTGTGCTCACGCAAAGGAGGGATTAATTGTAATTGCTGACTTCTTCTGAGCACATTTAACAAAGTAGCAGCCACATGCTGCCTTATTCCATGAATCCAGGGGATTGTGTGAGCAGGCAGTGTTATATTACTCCTGGGTGGGAATGAAATCATGTGGGAGCTGCAAGCGTGGCTCACAGAGAAAAATTACCATTTTATATTTATTACTTTGGCTGGCTTAAGTGCCACAGGAATAGACTCACTAATGCATTTGAGGGCAATTCCCCAACACTTTGATTCTGTTGCTTTGTAAACTATTTTTAGGGAATGTCTCGGAAGGCATTTAAAGGGACATGCCATCCAATTTTTAAAGGTTATTTTGGTGGTTTGTCAGAATGATACCAATAGTACACTACATCTCCCCAGATTACATGGCTATTCTGAATTCAGCTAAGAAATCCATATGTTGGGGGAAAAAACAAAACACAAACCCTTTTCTTTTTCCTCATACATCTCTTTTGTTCCCTAAAACAGATTATATTTTCAATAGGATATTATCATTCTGACTGCTAGCTTTTAAACTGGTAATTGTACAATTTAGATGACTTGTGCATGCTTCCTGCTATTTTTAAGTATTACTTTAATGAATATAGAGGCTTGAACATACATAATAACTGCATAATTAATCCAGAAATTCACAATTTATTTTCTGAAAGGGCATCTCATCAAAACTATACCCTTTTCATAGAAGGACAAGGTGTGGGTGTATGGGAGAAGGGGTTACTTCCCCTTCCTGAGTCTTCAAATACTCAGACTACAGTACACTATTCAGAATATAGTTCCCCCTTTGTCTTGCAGATTGATTTGCTTTTCCAGCACAAAGATATACCTTTCAGCTGTTGAATCCATACTGTAGGTCAATCTTCAATGTGGATTTCCAGCACAGGGCAATCAGCATGCTTCCTGTTTATGCAATAATAACCCTATCCTGAACTCACCAGATGCTAAAACTGAAAGCCGAGGGGTTTATTGGCCCAGGATGTTTAATGACCACTTGAAGGTGCTTCCTGTTTATTTCAGTAGCTTATTTTATTGTAATAACTAAATTCTGGGGTGGATAAACTGCAAGGTTAGAGAGCAAGGAGTTTAGCAAGTAATCTCAAAGGTTGAAATTCGAACCTGCAGCAAAGACTATATTCCAGATATGCACATTAGTAATCAAAAAGTAGCTTACAGCCCAACCAACCCACAGCTAAAGTAGCTTGTATTCTCTCCTTTACAGATCTCATTTAAAAACCCCACAATTCCACAACTCAAAATCATTTTTTGTGAAGAATTTGGTTACTCTTCCACTTAAACCTCCTTGTACATTTCTTCCCTGCTATAATGCAGAAGGAAATGTAAAATGTGAGTAGCTCATCATCAAGTTATTTATATTCTAATTCAAAGAGAGAGCACATCTAAGACTATCTTTATTCTAGGAAATTTTAACCAGTAAAGATCGTCAGCCAGTTATATTAACATGACATGGCTGCATAAAAAAAAAAAATGTTTCACATTTTTTTCTCCTTCTGTCAGCTAGGTTAGAAGAAAAGCCCAGCACCAGGTCCATCTGATGAAGGAAGTCTGGCAGCACTGGTAAAGGGCACTGGGTCTTGCAGCAGCAGATCTGGAGAGAGTGAGCTGGAGGCAATCTGAACACCTCTAAGAACCACAGCTGCGTTGGGAGAAGTACGAGTAGCAGGATAATCTGTTCCCTTTCTTGCCTGTAGGGTTGCCAACTGTCCAATCACACAAGCCCAAACGTCCTTGCCCCACCCCAACCCCTCCCCGAGCCTTCTCTGAGGCCCCGCCCCACTCACTCCATCCCCTCTCCCTCCGTTGCTCACTCTCTCCCACCCTCACTCACTTTCACTGGGCTGGGTTGGGTTCTGGGAGGGGGTGTGGGCTCTGGGCTGGGGCCGAAGTGTTCAGAGTGTGGGAGGGGGTGTGGGGTACAGGAGCAGGTGTAGGGTGCAAGATCTGGGAGGGAGTTAAGGTGCTGGAGGGAGCTCACAGCTGGGCGAGGGGTTGGGGTGCAGAAGGGACTACAGGCTCCGGGAGGGGGCTCAGGGCTGGGGCAGTGGATTGGCGTGCAGGAGGGGATGATGGGTGTGGGCTCTGGGAGGAAGTTTGGGTGTAGGAAGGGGCTCCAAGCTCGGACAGGGGGTTGGGGTATGGGAGGGGGTGAGAGCTCCAGCCGGAGAGTGCTTATCTTAGGCAGCTCCAAGGCGGCAGTGGAGCATGGCTAAGGCAGGCTCCCTGCCTGCCCTGTCCCCGCACCACTACCAGAAGCAGCTGGTATATCCCTGCAGCCCCTGAAGGAGGGGCAGGGGTCTCCGCGCGCTACCCACGCCCTGAGTGCTAACTCCACAGCTCCTACTGGCCAGAAACTGTGGCCAATGGGAGCTGTGGGGGAGGAGCCTGTCTTAGCTGTCCTGGGAGCCGCCTGAGGTAAGTGGAACCAGGCAGCTCCACAGGCTCTTCCCTCCGTGCGGCGCTCCTGGAAGTGGCCCGCACATCCATGCAGCCCCTGGGCGGGCACCAGCCCCACAGCTCCCATTGGCTGGAATTCCCAGCCAATGGGAGCTGTGGAGTGAGTACTCAGGCAGCATGCGAAGACGCCCCGTCCTCTCCCAGGGGCTGCAGGGACATGCCAACTGCTTCCGGGAGTGGTGCAGGGCCAGGGCAAGCAGGGAGCCTGCCTCAGCCCTGCTGTGCCACCAGACTTTTAGCGGCCTAAAATCTCCCACTTTGGCTTCAGTAGCCTCTGGGAGATAGAGCCCGATTCTGGGAGACTCCTGGCAAAACTGGGAGGGTTGGCAATCCTACTTGCCTGCCTTTCCTGAAGAATCTATGAATTAAAGAGTGGAAGGAATGCATCTAGTTTCTACCCCCATCCCACACAAAGGTAACCACACACCTGTAAGCTGCTGGCCTCTCTTCCCAGCCAGGAAGGACTAATACCACACCCAGTCTTTTCAGGCACTTTCTTCAGAGCACAGTTTTACTCTTTACACATAAAACTTATGCAAAATGTCAAAACAAAGCATTTCCTCTGCCCATCATGGGCTAGAGCTCACAGGGGCTTTTCTCCTGACCTCTCTGTGCTGAAAGGAGGACATACCCTTCCTTTCAATCCCCCTGTTTCAAGGCCTACTGCACCAACTGCACTCTCTCAGTCCTTTATAGTGATCACCTGGCCCATTGCCAGATGGGTCCGATAACTGAACACAGCTAGCTGGCCCCAGCCATCCTGGACCTTAAGGGAACAGACCACACTATTACAACATAATATTCTTGGAACAATAGCCCTGGAGCAGTGTTGAGGATGCCTCACCAACCAGAACAGGACAAATCAGCTGATTTGCAATGAAGTTCAAAGAGTTCTGATTAGGGTTCAACTTGCTGGAGTGTATTTCTAGCCTACTCCATCATCACAAGGCTACTAGCTAAGCTCTAACATTACACTCTGACACAGATCCCCACTTTCCCCTTGGGAAAACTACTTAGCCTCTCTGCCTCAGTTTCTCCATTTGTAAAATAATATTTACCCTTCTGCAGAAGATTGTGGTAGATTATTGGCAATTGTAGTGTCCGATTCTCAGGTGGTAACAGTCAGCCTATATCTACTGACTTCAGCGGAGTTACACTGATTTCCATCAACTAGTCTTAATATTGTTAAATAATCAACTGCAGGAAAATCAGGCAAGACAGGGAATAGTTTATTCTAGTAAACCCTGATTTCAGTGGAGCTACCCAAGTTTACCAACTGAGCACCTGGCCTCGGAACGGTTTTCATCTTCAGAGCACTTTAGAAACATTCACTAAATATTATTTAAGTCACAAAATACAGAACATTTTTTAGTTTTGTGGGGCAACATTTCTTGTTGCAGCAGAAAAGGGTTTCTTTTTCTTTATCAGGGACTGTCCTTACCTCCAGGGTGCCCCTCCTGTCCGGACACTGTTGCTTCTTGTATTCTCTCTGGCGGCCACTTCCTCAGCCATGATGACCAGTGCCTTCCCTGGACTGCCTTACTGGGTCTTCGGTAGCTCTGGCCATGTCACACAACAGTTTGAGCCCTCGTGGGGTTCAGATGTAAACAAAGAGTCCTTTGCGCCTCCTGGGCTCAATTCTGAAAAGAGAGGCTCTTTGCTCATCCTGGGCTTGACTTCAATTCTTCCTCCTCCTCAGGGCACTGATCCGCCACTGATTTTCCCTGCTAGGAGTCCAAATACCACTTGATTTAGCTTTCCATCACTCTTGTGCTTCTATCTTATTCCCTGGTGGTCATAGACCCTATCTCATTCTATGGTCCCACCACAGCTGCTAACCCTGCTGCTATAGCTCTACTTTCTGACCACAGCCAAGTCTACTACCCCTTCCAGCAGGCCCTTCCCAGGTAGATGGAACTCCCTATCTCTTACTCCCAAGACCAGGAGTCAGTTAATCACCTCCCAGATGCAGAGCATAACTAATTATTCTCTTCCAGGTGATGGGGTTTAAGACTCCTCACAAACCCAATTTTAAATTTCTGCCTGCATGGACAGGACCAACCCATCTTATAACCATATAAAACCACTTTATGCCCTGGTAAATACCACTGGGAAGGTCACTGCATCCACATGGTTAGTGATCATAAGAGGTCAAATCCTTCTCACCTTGCTTATGCACATGGTCCTGTTGACTAGAATAGGATTAGTCTATAGAGAAAGGAGATGAAAACTCATGGCGACCGGGGGAGGTCCCGGATAACTGGAAAAAGGCTAATGTAGTGCCCAAATTTAAAAAAGGGAAGAAGGAGGATCCTGGGAACTACAGGCCAGTCAGCCTCACCTCAGTCCCTGGAAAAATCATGGAGCAGGTCCTCAAGGAATCAATTCTGAAGCACTTAGAGGAGAGGAAAGTGATCAGGAACAGTCAGCATGGATTCACCAAGGGCAAGTCATGCCTGACTAATCTAATTGCCTTCTATGACAAGATAACTAGCTCTGTGGATGAGGGGAAAGTGGTGGACGTGTTGTTCCTTGACTTTAGCAAAGATTTTGACATGGTCTCCCACAGTATTCTTGCCAGCAAGTTAAAGAAGCATGGGCTGGATGAATGGACTATAAGGTAGATAGAAAGCTGGCTAGATCATCGGGCTCAATGGGTAGCGATCAATGGCTCCATGTCTAGTTGGCAGCTGGTATCAAGTGGAGTGCCCCAAGGGTTGGTCCTCGGGCCAGTTTTGTTCAATATCTTCATAAATGATCTGGAGGATGGTGTGGATTGCACCCTCAGCAAGTTTTCAGATGACACTAAACTGGGAGGAGAGGTAGATACGCTGGAGGGTAGGGATAGAATACAGAGGGACCTAGACAAATTAGAGGATTGGGCCAAAAGAAATCTGATGAGATTCAACAAGGACAGGTGCAGAGCCCTGCACTTAGGATGGAAGAATCCCATGCACCGCTACAAACTAGGGACCGAATGGCTAGGCAGCAGTTCTGCAGAAAAGGACCTAGGGGTTACAGTGGATGAGAAGCTGGATATGAGTCAATAGTGTGCCCTTGTTGCCAAGAAGGCCAATGGCATTTTGGGATGTATAAGTAGGGGCATTGCCAGCAGATCGAGGGACGTGATTGTTCCCCTCTATTAGACATTGGTGAGGCCTCATCTGGAGTACTGTGTCCAGTTTTGGGCCCCACACTACAAGAAGGATGTGGAAAAATTGGAGCGAGTCCAGCGGAGGGCAACAAAAATGAACAGGGGACTGGAACACATGACTTATGAGGAGAGGCTGAGGGAACTGGGATTATTTAGTCTCCAGAAGAGAAGAATGAGGGGGGATTTGATAGCTGCTTTCAACTACCTGAAAAGGGGTTCCAAAGAGGATGGATCTCGACTGTTCTCAGTGGTAGCAGATGACAGAATGAGGAGTAATGGTTGCAGTGGGGGAGGTTTAGGTTGGATATTAGGCAAAACTTTATCACTAGGAGGGTGGTGAAACACTGGAATGCGTTACGTAGGGAGGTGGTGGAATCTCCTTCCTTAGAAGTTTTTAAGGTCAGGCTTGACAAAGCCCTGGCTGGGATGATTTAGTTGGGGATTGGTCCTGCTTTGAGCAGGGGGTTGGACTAGATGACCTCCTGAGGTCCCTTCCAACCCTGATATTCTATGATTCGATGTCAATACCTATTTTTTCCTGTGACCTTCAAAGAAAAAAGAAGACTGGTTTGTACTTTTTTTTAATCCACACAATTTAAACACAGCTTACTGAGGAAAGCTTGAATAATTTTCTGAAATGGAAAAGCAAGCAATTAAAAACCAAATCAAATCACATTGCTCCGAATGTTTTTCTTTGATAAAGTACAAGCATAAAAAAGTGTCTACCCAGAATTGAAACAAAGGCTGAAAAACTTCATGCTTTAAAAGGTCTTCTGAAAAAGATAAGAGAGTTAGAAATAAGGCTTAACACCTAACTGTCATTCAGCCTTAATTATGGTGATCTCCTTCGACTCCACAGAAAGTCAGTAGTGCACGGGGTAGCACACCTAAGTAGGGATAAGCAAATTGTAGGGTTGTCCATGGCTTGCGGACATTTTGTTCTTACATTGCCAACCTCTTTTCAGTTTGCTTATTTAAACCAAAGTTTGTGAAGCAAAACCTATATGGTGCTAACACTGTTACTAGCTGGCTGTGCATTTAGTATATCCTGGTACAATCCTTCACTGTTTTCTTATGTGCCTTCCTTCCTACACACCATGCTGTGCAGCTGACATTGTGTTCTGCCAAGCATTTACACCAGCCATCAAACAAATGTTTTTTTTAGCATAAAAAAATAAAAGCACCTCATCAAGCTGGCTTTAAACCAGTAACCTATGAAAATC